CTCCTCCTCCTCCTCCTCCTCCTCCTCCTCTCCTCCTCCTCCTCCTCCTCCTCCTCCCCCCTTCCCTCCTCCTCCTCATCCCCCCTTCCATATTCCACATTATGTCCTCCTACTCCTCCGCATCCTCCGTCTCTTCCTCCTCCTCCTTCTCCTCCGTCTCCTCTTTCTGTCCTCCTCCTCATCATCCGCCTACATCAAACTTGTTCCGCTCCCTCCGCATTGACCCTACTCCTCAACGTCCTTATGACCCTCCTCGTCGTCACCATTCCCCACCTCCTTCCTCATCACCGTCCTAATCCTCTTCCTCCTCATCCGCCCCCTTCCGCCCCCTCCTCCTCCTCATCCTCCGCATCCCCATCCTCATCCTCATCATCCTCATCAGCAGCATCAGCAGCATCAGCATCAGCATCACCATCATCATCAGCATCATCAGGATCCTCATCCTCCTCCTCCTCATCATCACCCCTGATAATCATCAGCATCACCCTCATCATCATTATCCGCGCTTCCACCGCTCCTCCAGTCCTACTTGTCCTCATATTCCTCCTCCTCGCCGTCGTCATCATCATCCTCATCATCATCATCATCATCCTCATCCTCATCCTCATCATCATCATCATCATCATCATCATCATCATCATCATCATCAACATCATCATCATCATCATCATCATCATCATCATCATCATCATCATTAACATCATCCTCATAATCATCGGACTCAGCAGCATCAACATCATCCGCAGCAGCATGCGCATCAGCATCAGCATCATCATCAGCACCAGCATCAACATCAGCATCAGCATCATCATCATCGTCATTAGCATCAGCATCAGTATGAGCATCCTCATCTCCTCCACCACCACCATTACCAGCATCATTTACACCATCACAATCAGCATGACCATCCTCATCATCAGCAGCAGCACCACCATCCAGATCGTCATCAGTATAATCAGCATCATCAGCAACAGTATTATCATCATCAGCAGCATCAGCATCATTACCATCAGCACCGTCACCGCTATCAGCGTCACCATCATCATCATCAGCACGAGCAGCAACATCATGACTAGCATCAGCATCATCATCATCAGCAGCACAACCATCACCACACCACCATCACCATCATCAACAGCATCAGCATCATCACCATCAGCATCAACATCATCACCATCAGCAGCAACATCGCCGTCATCATCACAACACCATCCTATTCCTCAACACCATCATCATCTTCATTATCACGTCCATCACACGTCCCCATCAGCATTAGAAATATGAGCATCAACCTCGGCCTTACCAACATCACCATCATCATCGGCATCATCACCAGCAGCAGCAACCGCATCATCATCATCATCATCATCATCATCATCATCATCATCATCGTCAGCGTCCGCAACATAATCGGGAGCATTGCGAGTGTCGCCAGCACCATCACCATCATCAGCAGCATCGTTACTCCACTCACTATCGTCACCATCGTCACCATCAACATCATCACCATCGTCGCCAGCATCAGCATCCTCAAACTCAGCATCGTCACCATTGCCCTCATCACCATCAACATTATCAGCGTCACCACCGTCATCCTCATCATCATCGTCGTCAGCATCATCACCACCATCATCAACATCAGCATCAGTCCCACCATCATCAGCAGCAGCAGAGCATCATCACCAGCATACAACGCATCATCCTCATCATCATGGCAATCACCATCATCACCATCATCAGCATCAGCATCGGCATCATGAGTGTCCTCGTCAAGAGCATTATCATTATTATCAGAATCATTATCATCATTACCATCACCAGCATCGTAATCATCCTTTTTGCCATCACAACCATCATAACCAGCATCATCACCATCATTACCAGCATCAGCATCATCAGCATCACAATCATCATCGGCACCATCATCATCAGCATCATCATTATCGTCGTCATCAGCACCTTCATCACCATCACCATCTCCAGCATCACCATCATCATCACCTACATCATCAACATCAGCATCACAGTCACCATCAGCACCACTACCATCGTCATAATCATCGTCAGCATCAACATCAGCATCGCTAACATCACCATCACCACCATCATCAGCACCGACAGCAACCGTATCATCATCACCATCATCGTCATCATCAGCATCACCAGCATCAGCACCATCATCATCGCCATCAGCACCATCATCACCAGCACCATAATCATCATCAGCATCAACATCATCACCACGATCGCCATCATCACCATCATCATCTTCATCCGCAAAATCATGATCATCAGCATGATTAGCAGCAGTAGCAGCGTCATCATCAGCACAGAATCACCAACGCCATCGTCACCATCACAATCTTTAACTGCATCCTCATCATCGTCATCATCATCAGCATGACCATCTCCATCATCATCACCACCATCCTCCTCATCATCAACAACACAATCCTCATCATCATCATCACCATCGTCGTCGTCATCACCATCATCATCATTATCATCATCGCCATCACCATCAACTGCATCATCAACATCACCATCATCACCATCGTATCCATCATACCGCTATATCACCAGGATCATCAGCAGCATCAGCATCCTCATATTCAGCAGCAGCAGCAGCATCTTCATTATCATCACCATCATCTCCATCCTCAGCATCAGCATCATAATCAGCATTACCATCATAATCATCACAATCATCGTCATGAATAGCACCACCATCACCACCACCACCATCATCACCATCATCATCATAATCACCATCACAATCCTCATCATCATCATTGTCATCATTCGCATCATAACCAGCATCACCGTCATCATCATCAGCAGCAACATCATCAACAGCATCATCATCAGCAGCAGTGTAATCACCATCCCAATCACCATCACCATCACAG